ATTTGGCATACAAGCAAAACATTAGGGACCAAAATTATAATTCTCCATAAATGTTTGGCTAGTAAAACATTGGATTGATTTGGAAAAACTAAAGGGTTCATTTTTGTTATTTGGACAAACTTCAAGAGAGGCAAATGCAATTTGAACAAACTTTAGGATAGGTAAGTGCAATTAACTCAATTTACAAAAGGTTAGTTTGGGGGCTTTTAGACATATATTTTAGTGATGCAAGCATCATTTCAATCAACAATTAGCGTGAGGGGCGCAATTGATAAACATTTTGTCAGTCAGGGGATTTGACTATAATCTGGTCAAACTGCAAGATAAATTTTGTACTTTGACACCTCGAGAAAGTAGGTGTAATTAACCTTAAAAAAACCGAGTGTTCTTATTGTCCGAATATTATCCAAATGAGATAGCACTATCTCAAGAAAAATACATGTATCCATTCTTATACCTTCACCTATGTATCCACTTTTGACTTATAATTAAAGGTAACATGGCTTGTTTTAACCTATTGATTGTACCCTCCACCTATCTCTCTCTTTTCATTTCTTTCTGTTTCTCTTCTTCCAACCAACCTCTCCAATCCTTCTTTCAGCCCACCCAAGTTCTCATGATGAACACTCTTCCCATGCACCATGCCTCTACCCTAATCCAAATATTTACAAGTAGTGGCAGAACCAGAATCCTAGACTCAGCAAGGCCAAATTAGATTAGCATAAAAATTGAAGTATTAATAGAGTTTGAAATCAAAAAACACTTCTATCTTAAAAGTTCATTTTTTCTATGTTAAATACACTTTTAAAAATAATTTGCGTTAAATTTTGCAATGAAAATTACATTTAAATTTACATCTATATTTAACTTTTGGTAGGTTTAATACTCTTGTGAAGGATAACAATTATGGAATTTTAATTATTTAGGGGGCAATGTATGATAGTAAAGAGAATTCTAAAAATTTTAGGGAGGACAAATAAGAAACAATTTTGAAAATTTCTAAACATAAAATATAATTTTCTCAAAAATTGCACCCCCTCAGCAGTATGTGGCTTTGCCATTGTTTAATTACAAGCTTTCCTTCCTCCCTATTTTCCTATATTGTGTTTACATTTTTGAAGTACTTGTATATTTCATATATATCACATTGCAAAAACTACAACATTATAATTCTAAAAAAATTTAAACTATATGTTTCCAAACGCAGCCTTGACTTTTAGTTATTGAGTCTTAGTTTGAATATGAAGTCAACAGTTTCACTTTGTCTCAACGCACCTATAGGATTTAAGTATAGGTTTTGAAACCGTAGGAGACTTTTGTGTCTTGTCCATGAACAACAGGAGGATAAAGTTAATTCACCTCTTTTTTTTAAAAAAAAGATAGAAGACTATGCTAATATTTATATTTTTATTGTGAGTCAGGGTATTTTTCAAAGATAATTTTATTTAATTGGGTTAACATTTCTAGGCATTGAGAAGGGTTAAGAAATCATAAAATTGTAAGTTAATTGTAAAAAATAATAGTAGGAATGAAATGCCAAAAATGACTATAGTTTAGCCAAACCACAAGGTAGATTTTGTAATTTGACCAAACCTCGCGGGTAGATTTTTTTTTTTTGGGATAAATCAGGGGTAGATTTTATTGTCCGACTATTATAATTTATAATGGACCAGAGTAGAGATTAGTTGTTACATTTCCAACTTTTTTGCATGGTCACACATTTCCGACTATTATAACCTCAGGTGTTTTTTTTTCCTTTCTCATTTTGGATTAATCTTCAATAGAGGAAACAACTTTCTGGCTTGATAAATATGTTATGAAAATAGATTTTTTAAATTAAATAGGGACTACTTGTCCTGTATTCAGATATGCCATTGTAATAGAACTTTGGTATACTTAGATAGTATATTATTTAGGATAATTTTTTGACAAAAATATTGTGTTGACCTTGGTCGATCAATCCTTGGTTTTGATGATTAACAAACCAAAATATAGATTTGGGCTAATGTTTTTATGTGAGTAATTTGTTAGAATAGATTCTTGTGGCATAAAAGAAGAAGCAAAAACAGGGCACTCATGTCGGACGCTATCGGATGTCCGAAAGGATGAAGAACATCAAGAAGGAAACTCTGTCGGACGCTCATGAGGAAGCATGGGACGTCCGGAAGGATCGGACGCACGCCTCGGACGCACATCGATCGCATCGGACGTCCGAGAAATTTCGCAAAGATTTGATGACTCTCTGACGACGTTCGGACGCAGGGTTCGGACGTCCGACAGGTGGTTTGGACGCAGGGTTCGGACGTTCGACAGGTGGTTCGGACGTCCGACAGACCAACGGCTAGTTTTGACAGCATTTAATATTTGACCGTTGGAGAGCCTTTTGGAGTCATTTCTCACCTTCTATAAAAACCCCAAAGCACAAGAAGACAAGAGACTTTTGCCAACACAAAATACAAGCTTACAAGTGAGATTTTTGAGTAGAAAGATTCTTTGTTGGTTGTATAAGGTTGGGAAAGTTGGGTTGTGAGGTTGCTCAAGTGAAGGTTACTCTCTAGGAGGAGTAAAACCTTGGTGAAGATAAACCTATCACTTGGAGTGGTAAAACCTTGGTGAAGGTTGCCTCATGTGTATAAAATAGTTCTTAATTGGGTGAGTGATCTTTCAAGTGTAGGTTGTTGAGGGTTAACTAGTATAGTTGTAAAACTCCTTGGCTCAACCAAAGAGTGTTTGGGGTGAGGAAGGAGTGAGCCTTCACTTGTACATCTTGGTTAGCATCGCCATCTATTGAAGAGGCTATTGGATTGATATTTGGTTTGCATTTTTTATCTTTTCTCTTTAATTAAGTTTTCTTTATTGTGCTTAAATTTGATATATCTTTGTGTATCATTGTGAATTTGTTTGTACTCATTGGGTTGCACCGGGCACTTACATATTGTGATAATTTTTTGACAAAAATATTGTAAAAAGATGATTGAAAAATGATAATTTTTTTGATATGATATATGTCAGATAAAAAGATGATTGAAAAATTTGTTGATGATACAAACAAATACAATTTGACAAATAATCTACTATCCAAACAAAGACTAGATTTTCTATGTGCAAATATGCTAGGGTAACCGATTCACAACGCATTTGATAAAGCGGTTATTGAGCACATTTTGCACTATTATTCTGCCCTAATTTTGGCTACTCATGGTGCTAAGAATTGGGAATTTGCTCATATTTGATATTTGTGTAAATTGTAGGTGGTTGCTGTTAAAAGTAATCTTTTGAGGCAATTTCCAGAAGACCCTTTATTTTAGGACGTGCCCACGCCAGAAATTATAGAGGGCTACCCAAAAACCGGACCCGCGAGCTTGGTAACAGTAGGATAACCAATTAAGGAACTAGGTCCGCGTGGACCAGATGCGTGGGATTAGAACCCTTAGACAAAGCTTGCTCCTGATTTGACTCCTACGGGCGGCGCTACAAATAAGAAAACAAGCTAGATTCGCGGGGAATCATCTACCTTAGCTTTAATTTTCCTTTTTTCACATCTGTCAGACATCAAAGAATTTTTCCTTGTTTTTTTTGGCTTTTACGTTTTGACTCTTTTGCTTTTGCTTTGGATCTGTACAATTTTCATTGGCTTTGGCATTGAACTTTCGGATCCAGTACGGACTCCAATGCAGAGACAAGCAAGACTTTTCACTTTTTCTTTCTTTGTTATTTCATCGGTCCAGATTCTTTGATGTTTGTGTGGATGAAATCAATTAAATTGCGCGAGATTGATATGACGAGGAGCGGCTAAATTCCCCTTCTACCCAAGGGTTAACGCGAAGGCGCGGTCCATAACATCTGTGAGATCTAATCGAATTTTCACTATTTCGTCCAATTCGTTACTATTTATGTGTTTCCTGAATTAATTGTTCATGGGTATTTTATTAATTGGGTATCAGCGGCCGGATATTTAATTTAATATAATAGCCTATTGGTACATTAATTAAATTGAATCCGTAATTGTTCGTTTAGTTGACAAATAGTGACAACCACCATAATTGGTTTTATGTTGGAGAAACACAAGATCTAATTTAAATAAACTCTCTTAGCGTGTTTATTGGTTAGGGTTGGGTTTTTCTAGTTTTAATGCAACTGGATAACTAAATTCCTACGGTCGTACCTAGGGTTGTTTTCTGGTTAGAGAAGCAGTCAATGATCGTAGTTTGACTGTCGAAAAAGTAAGGAAGAACTGGTTGTCAGATCTTATTGATAACTATAACCAACCTAGTGACGGATGGATGAAATATCTTTGCATCGATGATCATTTAATTGGACCGTGCCTGAAAACTTGATTCTTTGGGTAGAATTTTATTAATTGCTATTTTTAGTAAATTGTACTTGTGGAGTTATCTTTTGAATTTTATTTATTTTATTTTCGTTTCCATCCCATTAATTATCCCCTAATTTTATTCTATTGATTTAAAAAGAAACAACTTCCTACCCGTTCCCTGTGGAATCGACCCTACTTGCCATTGTACGCAAAATTAATATTTTTATAGACAATTCAGGTATATCGGACCAAGCAAACTCTTCGGGAATAGGGTAAATCAAGTAATCCATTACACATTTAGGGTCCCTACTCTAGTATTTGGATTTGTTCTATAATTAATTGTGATGGTAATTAGGACTTTTTAGTAATTATTATTGCACAGGTTCGGTATCTGTCAATTTTTGGCGCCGTTGCCGAGGAACGGTATTTTGATTAATTTTGTTTCTTTCTAAGTTATTTTCTTTGGATTTGTCTGACATTTTTCTAGTTTATGCCTCGTTCTTCTCATACAGGAGAATTGATTTTCGATCCGGAAGTAGAGAAGACTTCGTGTCAAACTAGAAAATAGACTAGGCAACTCAGAGAGGAGCAATCGAGCACTGCATCTCAGGAACTGGATCCTGAGATTGAATCAGCAGATTCGAGTGGTGAAAATTCAAGTGACCCAGGCCAAGAAGACATCCCTATGGCGAATGCAAGAACACTAAGGGAGTTGGCTGCTCCGGAATTGCCCCAGCAGCCGCTGTGCATCACATTTCCAACTCTAGCTGAAAATGCCTCATTCGAACTAAAGTCGGAGTTGATTCACCTTTTGCCCACATTCCATGGCCTTTCGGGGGAGGAACCCCATAAACACATTCAAAAGTTCAATGTGGTATGCTCCAGTATAAAGTCTCCAGAAATTACTGAGGAGCAGATCAAACTTAGAGCCTTCCCATTCTCCCTCAAGGATGCAACAAAGGATTGGTTGTACTACTTACCTGCAGGCAGTGTTACAACATGGACCCAACTGAAAAAGAAATTTTTGAAAAAATTCTTCCCTACATCCCGGGCTGCAAGTCTGAGAAAGGAGATTTGTAGCATTAAACAGTACCCTGGAGAATCCCTATATGACTATTGGGAGAGGTTCAATAAGTTGTGCACTAAATGCCCACAACATCAAATTAGTGAACAACTATTGATCTAATATTTCTATAAGAGGCTCCAGTCATCCGACAGGAGTATCATTGATCCTGCGAGCGGGGGAGCATTGGCAAATAAGACCCCGAGGGAAGCATGGTTGCTCATTGAAACTATGACAAAAAATTCACAACAGTTTGGCTTCCGCGAGAGTAACCCTACCCGTAGGGTTAACAAGATAGAGACATTATCCATTCAGCAGCAGCTATCAGAGCTAACATCTTTCGTTCGCCAATTAGCTGTGGGAAACGGGCACCAAGCAAAGGCCTGTGGAATCTGCACAAATGTGGGTCACCCCACTGACTCATGCCCTATGTTGCAAGAGGATGGGGCTAAACATATGAACATGACTGGAGGCGTGCCCGCGCCTCGTAGGCAGTACGACCCACACTCGAACACGTACAATCCGAGTTGGAAAGATCACCCCAATTTCAGCTATGATAATAGGCCACAGAATTCATTCTCCAATCGTCCACCAGGATTTCGGCAACCATGGCAACCAAAGCCACAACCTTTATCATCTAACTCAGGAAGTTCCTTGGAGGAAATTGTCAAGAGTTTGGTCACGACTACCACTCAGCTCCAACAGGAGACTAGGGCCCTGGTCGCGAACAATACTCAGTTCCAGTAGGACACCAGAGCAAGCATGAAAAACATGGAGACTCGAATGAATCAAATGGCAACCGTCATTAATCGCTTGGAGTCCCACGTTTATGGAAAACTACCATTACAATCCAAGATAAATCCCAAGAATGTAAGTGCCATGACACTAAAGAGTGGCAAAGAGGTGGAGGGACCTAAGTTGGTAAATTCGAAAAGCAAAAAGTGAGGAGGAGATAGAAGAGGGAGTTGAAGAGGAACGGCACATTCGCGAAGAGTCTAAGGTAACATCTATTCCTTTGATGCCTATTAAATCTAATCTAGCTCCTTTTGCTTGCAGGTTGGAAAAGACAAATAGGGCAGAAAAGGAAAAAGAAATCCTGGATGTGTTCCGCAAAATTCAAGTAAACATCCCCCTATTGGATGCGATCAAACAGGTATCCAAGTATGCAAAGTTCTTGAAAAACTTGTACGTTAACAAAAGAAAGCTAAGGGATGATGAGAGAGTGATGGTAGGAGAGAATGTATCAGCTGTACTTCAAAGGAAACTCCCACCCAAATGCGAGGATCCAAGCATGTTTACTATCTCCTGTAAGATTGGATGTTCTAATATCGAAAATACCATGCTAGTTTAGGAGCCTCTATTAATGTGATGTCTAAATCAATCTATGATTCCCTAAATTTAGGACCTTTAAAAGAAACAAGAATAATAATTCAATTGGCTGATCGTACATTTGCTTATCCGGATAGAATAGTTGAGAATGTTTTAGTGCAAGTAGATGGATTAATTTTTCCTGCTAATTTTTATGTGCTTTACATGGATGATAGAAGTGTCCCAAATCCATCACCCATTATATTAGGAAGGCCATTCTTGAGTACTGCCCAAACTAAGATTGATGTTAGTAAGGGTACTTTCACAATGAAATTTGATGGAGAAACAGTCCATTTTAATATTTTTGATACAGTGAAACATCCTGTTAACTCTTATTCTGTGTTTGTTATTCATGCTACTGATCCATCTGTGCAAAAATTTTCTGAGTTTGCTTGTAGAAGTAAATTCAAAGTTGCTGCAAACAAGTATCATGGAATGAAAGCAATTCATGAGGTGAAAATGGGTAGAAAATTAAGAAAAAATGTTGCATTCAATGGCTATTTGGATCCCGGAGGAGGGCCACTGATTACAAGAAAAATTGAATTACATCCAAACTGAAGAGCGGTGTATAGTGTCTAGCCAAAGACATTAAAGAAAGACACTACTTGGAAAGCAATCCAAGGATTTCAATTGTGTTCTATTTCATATTTGTGTGCTCAAGACCAGTGGGTTTAGATTCCTATTGACAATATTTATTATAGGTCATGGGTGTTTCTGTGTAGTTTTATTCTAGGTTGGACGCAAAAAAAAAAAATTTTGTGGGCAGAAGACTTCATGTTACAAGGCGTGCCCGGGCCTTGTACTCACCGCACATGAATATTTGTAAAATTTGGTGAACAGAAGACCTCGACCTCCAAGGCATGCCCACGCCTTCCAACCTTTGCAACAATGAAAGTAAAAAAAAATTGACCAGGACCTTCTCTAACCCCACTTTTCTACTTTTCTTTTTTCTTGTCTTGTCTGGTCTTTTTAATTTCCTCTGTCTTAGTTTCTACTTTTCAATTTCCTTTGTTTTGTCTTAGTTTCAGTTTCTTCGTTTCCTCTTTTCTTGTTAGTCTGCCGCGCACAGCGCGTCGCCGTGGCGTGCTCCTCTTACCATACTCCTCCTACTGGGGATTCCCAATACTGTGCCCTCCAAGATTCTATCCATGAACTAGGTGAGCAGGTTGAGGGACTAGATGGCCGTCTTGCAGCGCTGCAGGTTTTTGCTCGCATTCAGGTGGAGAACTAGGCAGCTTTCTTTACGCATATTGGATTCACTCCACCTCATCCTCCTCCCCCTTAGTGTCTAGCTGCAGCCTCTCGGTAGTCAAGGAAGTTTCTCTCCTTTTCTCCTAATATTTCATTTGTCTTTTCTACATTGAGAACAATGTAGGTTTTAGGTGTGGGGGAGTAGTTCCCATTATTTCTTTTGGTTTCCATTATTTCTTTTGGCTTTGGTACAAAAAAAAACAAAAAATGGAAAACAAAAAAATGAAAAAATGATGAAAACAATGTAGTTAGTCGGCTTTCTGTTCATTTCTATGTTTGTTAGTACTGGAGCATATTGCTATGACGAATTATACAATCATGGTGCACAGGTATGTGGTCAAATATGCTAGTTGGGCATTTTGTTTTTGCTTTGCAATATCATTGAATGTTGAATATGCTGGACTTGATCCATTCTTAAAACTTTTGGGAGCTTTTGAGCCATACATGAGCACATTATTCTTGTTTGTTCTATTTTTGTTTGATTGAGTGGGTATCACACATGGTATTGGTATTCTAGAACTTGCTATTTTGTACATGTCGAGATCACATTTTGTTGAAGTGGATGCATTTGAAATAATAAGGGCATTTAGGATTTGACCTTCTTTAGCTTTCTAAAAACCATGCATTCATCTTATCTCCCGATAGTGAATCAATTTGAATTTTTATCCTTCGCTTTTGTTTGTTAGTCGTGTTTGATAACCCATGACCTTTTTATACTTTCTTGTTCAACCTTGTGTCATTAAGAGATGTCTGAAATTCGGCAAATAAATCTAGGGTCGCAAGTGTTGTCAAAATAGATGCTGTATGATGTTGTTTCTGTACATCTGAGATCGAAAAAAAAGAAAAAAAGAAAAAAAAAGGAAAAAAAGGGGAAGAAATTGTCAATAAGATGGTGAAACAGACGACTCTGTCTTACAGGGCGTGCCCACGCCTTGCAATTACTTAACTCAACCAAAAAAATAAAAAAAATTTTGGCGACACTTGCACAGTGGGTGTAGCAAATGAAACTGCCTTATTTGTGAAACTCCTCCGGTGAAGCATTGTGGTTATATGGTGGGTTTCTGATATTCGAGGCACATACCGGTTGAATGATCCCTGGCATAACAAATTCCACAAGTTGCAGCAGCCATTCTTTCAATAAGAGAGTTTAGTGCCTCTGAATATGCAAACTTAGAAAAAAAACAAGCCTCATTGTCTTCCCTGGAAACAAAATCCAGTCTATCACCAAAATCCGGAGTGTTAGAAGCCATAAACTATATAAAAAAAATAAGAGAAAAATAAACAAAAAAAAAATGAAAACAAGATGAACTCAAAAAGAAACAAATTAATCTGACACCAGTCCCCGACAACGGCGCCAAAAATTGACAGGGTGTCGAACCTGTGCAATAATAAATACCTGCTTAAATAAAATATAATTTCTGTAGATAGTGATAAGCAGGGTCGAATCCACAGGAATTGGGGATAATTTATTTCTTTAGAGTCCGAAGTATGGGGGATTTTTGAAAATGAGAGTAACTAAACTACTTGGAATAAATTAAAATAAAATAAAACAACTACAACTCAAATAACTAATTATCACAATAAAAATAATAATGGACGAACTCTAACCAAGAGACAACTTCGGAGATGGTTCACTTAATTCGATCACAGATGCAAGGATTATTCCAGTTACTATCTGATAAATTAGTTATAGTTGTCATACACGCGATAAACAACCAACTCTTCCTCAATTTGTCGAAAGCCAAGGTACGACCGTTGACTATTTCTCTAATCAGGAAATAACCTTAGGTACGACCATAGAAGTTCAATTCCCTAATTGCATGAATAATTAGAAGAGCCTAATTCTAACCAATCAACACGCTACGAGGGTCTCTTTAAGTTAACCTGTCTATCTCCCTGACACAAACCCAATCATGCCAGTTGCCACCAGTTTAGAATAATTAAACAATTACGGATTTAACTACCCTAATTGGTTTCAGGTTATTGAATTAATCTAGAATCCGGGCCCTGGATAATCGAATAATAAAACAACCATATGAACATAAAGCAGAAGATAGACGAATACCAGTGAATAATGAAAATAAATAAAAACTAATTCGATCTCACAAATTTAGTAGAACCAAGTCCTCCGTTGTTCCTCGACTATATGAGAAACTTAGCCACGCCTCATGAGAAAATCTCCAAGTGATTTTACTGAGGTCCAAGCCATCAAAGGAACTAAGAAAGAATAAAACTAAACTATGCTAAAAACTAAGCTAAAACTATTGATAAGAGCTTCTGTGTATGTTTGTTTCTCTTTTTAAAGCCAAATGACTAATACCTTCCCTCTTTTCTGTGGTCCCCGCACGAATTGAGAGTCCAATTCCATCTCACAAGCCTTTGTACGTTTCTTTTCCAAGAGCCCAAATGACTCATGCTTCTTATCTCCGTGGTCCCACGAGATTCCCCAATCAAAGTCCAAAAGGTAAGGCCTCTTAATGTTTCCTCTTTTCTCGTTTCTCATTGCTCCTAGGACTCCTAGGATTCAAGACACTCCTCATCAGCAAAGGAAATGCAGTCCGCATCTATCACAATGTGGGCCAGGTCTGTGGCTTAGTTGAAGTCTCAATTGTTTCCAGAAAGTCCCTCTTTTTTTGTAATTTTCTGCTTCACTCCCTGAAATTGGGTCCAATACCAAATATAAGTAAATATTAATAATTAAAATAATATTTGGCAAGGATAAAAGGGAAATTAATAATAAAATAACCAATAATTAACACCCTATCAGTTTCGGACATTCTCTTGACATATTACCCCCTATCTATACCTTTCTATCCCATTTTTTACCTAAGCCCCATTACAACCCTATCAAAATTCCTTTGATTTGTGTATTTAGTTCATTTTTGAGTGGTGGAGATGTGATAAATGTGCAAACTTATGGTAATGTCATTCCGTGATGTTGATTTGAGCGTTCCTAGTATTCATACATTTTTTTTGAATTACCACCTGTCCGGTGTGTTCTAATTTTGGCAATATTGTCAGGAATGCGGGATGTTTGAGGTAGTATAGATGACTAAGAAACCGTTGCTATCTTGATTGTGCTTCTGAGCTCCAAAATGCTTGAGGGCAAGCATTGTCTAGATGTGGGG